CTGTGCCACCGAGAGAGAATGGGAATATGGAACGTGGCTCAGCTGCACAGCAGCCCCACACCATTCCTTTCACTTGAGCCTCCCTATGGACGCGTAACTAGCGAGACATTACTAGTGCAGCCCAACAGTGAGCTGTGCCACCGAGAGAGAATGGGAATATGGAACGTGGCTCAGCTGCACAGCAGCCCCACACCATTCCTTTCACTTGAGCCTCCCTATGGTACACGTAACTGTTCAACCACCATTACAAAGCAGGGACTAGAATAGGACGATCTCTTAGGAGAAAGTCAGCTGTGATACTTCTTAAACAACCAGAATTATGGTTACAGCTGCAGGAACTTAGACTTTCCTCAAAGGAAAGAAGCCCTGGCTGTCCTTGGGAGCCTCCCTGTCCCCAAGAGGGAGCAGTTACAAGCCAGTCCAAGCCCAGCACTCACCGTCTGTGGATAGGAAAGAGGCCGCAGTCGGTCATAATCCTCTTGCCCTGCTGTATCCCAGAGGCCTAGGTTCACTGGCTTTCCATCTACCATGACATTGGCAGAATAGTTATCAAACCTGCCAAGGAAGAGTCCCCATCAGTGCCAATCTTGTTGTGACCCACACATCTCTATATGAAATCCAAGGGGGCAGCGAATCAGGAGAGGACACTGCAACACAGTTCCAGTGGGGATAGTCTGCCCTCCTCACATACACAGCCATACCACCGGCATCTTCCTCATGTGTGAAGTTCACGGTCTGATTTGGGACAGCCTTCTCCTCACCGACAAAACCAACTTTTAGAGACACGTGCATAGAGAGCAAAAAGCAACTGAAGCCCAAGGCCATTACTCACACAGTGGGGATGTATTCTCCAGGAAAGGCATTCGTGGTGTAACTGATCAGCAAGCAGGTCTTCCCTACAGCTCTGCAGAGGATAAGAGTGACAAGCATAAAGAAGGGTACAGCAGGAAGCACTGTAAAACTCACCCTTTCCCCACCCAAAAAAGAGCGTTAGGTAAGAAGTTATCACGTGAGAAAACAAACCTGCAGCAGGCTGGAATTCTCTAGCTGTCAGGGACCAGGCCTGAACTCACCTTGCCTGGGCACTTACCTGACCCTGCTCTCTCCCACACCTTTTCCCCACCCATTCAGCCTCAGCAAAACACCAGGCAAAATATATTTGTTCCAGGAAGCAAAAGAAAGGGAATAAATTAGGGTTCTGTGCTGGGCTCAACACAAACATAATAATCTAGCAAAATGGGTAAACAGTGAGGTGAAAAAACGTGCAACACACAGAATTATTCAAGCTCCTCAGAGGAATTCAATGTCAATAAATACAAAGGGGAAAAATAAGTATCCATAAACAAAAATTAACTTTAAAATTGACCACCGTCAGTTTGGAAAGACATTTTGGCCCCAGTGTAGATCACTGAAAATATCAGCTCAGGGCTTTGCTGAAGGCGGGTGGGATTGGTCAACGCAGTGGTGGCAGCTGGCAGGGGTTGGGCCTGGCTGGCAATAGTGTAAGCATATGAACTACAGCTAGCCCTGTAGGATAAGGGAGAGCTTAGTTATAAGAACAGAGGAGTACTATGAGCGTAAACAACCTATTTATCACTGTGAAAGTTGTGAACTGCAGAGAACCTTCCAGAGAAACAGATTGTGAGCGCCAGTGCCAGGGAAAGCTGTCTGTGAGGTGCCTGAGCGAAGCTGAATACCCATCTCTGTTGGCTATCCTCTACCCAATTCTGTAACTGGAGTGACGTAAGGAAAGACTTCAGGAGTCAGCGAGAGACCCCACAATCCTGCACCAGGATGACACAAAGCACGGCGAGAACCACTACAGTAATCCACCCAGATTCTCCCCTGGATCAGGTCCCCTCTCGGAGAAGAGGGAGGTTGTGTAAGGAACCACTACACCGACCAACCCGACTTTCCTCCTGAACCTCTCTCCCACCAAACAGGGAAGTCACGTAATTCACAAAACACACGCATATCTACGATTAAAGTGTTTTGGTATCCAAGTTCATTTACTCTCTGCGCTGTCAATTTGGTCTTAAAGCAAAACACCGCACTGCAAACCTTCAGCTGAAGTCCGTTTCCAACATGCTGTGCTCCCAGTTGTTGCTCTCCCCTCCACAATAAGGCTGTGCTGTTTTGGTGGGTGGCTCTTTCTCCTGCTCCCCTCTTTAGCCCCCACAGGCTAGAACCTGGAAGGCCCGGCTCCAAATGTGCATTTGAGGGGGTGGCACGCGTGGGAAGGCAGAAAGACCAGTCCCTGCCTAAGACCAGTTCACATTTAGTTCTCCATATCTCAGCTCTGTGCTTGCTGTGGTGATCAGAAAAGCAAACAGGAATTACGAGGAAAAATATGCAGGACAAGCTAGGAAAAGTTACGAAGCACCATAAATCTCCTGCATGCCTGCATCTTGCATACAGATGTGTTCTCAGAAAAAGGCATATAGGAAAAGCCTAAAGAAAAGAGCAAGAAGGATGACAAGAGGCACACGGTGAAATCAGAAACAGCAGTGTATTTCACCTTGGAACACAAATGACAAAAGGAGATATGAGAGAAACCCGCAAACATCAAGATTTTTAGGGAGGACTTTGTGATGAATCACGCTTGTATGACGAAAAATAGCGAAATACAGGCACCTGATAAAACAACGAGGAGACAGATTTAAAACTCAAGAAACTCATATTTGTTTTCCGGGCGGTACAGCGCTGGATGCGAGACTGAACAGCGTTAAGAGACGAAGCCCCAAGTTTACGAACTAAAGAGGGAGCGGGATGCGCTGGGCAAGACTGTAACGGCCGCCGCCG